AAAAAGATTTACAAAACATCGAGTCTGGTCTGACGCAGAAGTGCTTTCTGCCTTACATAAACAAGCACTTGCCTGGCTGAAGAAGCTGTATTTAAGAAAAGTATTTAATCTATTTTGCAACCCTCAGCATATGTAAAAGAGTAAAGAAGATCTGACATGATGGACATACAAAAAATCATAGCTCCAGAGTAAATTATCAGGCAGCTGAGGCCAAGAGCTTTGGCTAAATCCCTTCATTTGGAATCGCATCAGTTTTTAAGAGCCATGCATGTTATTGTTGCACATCAGCTGCATCCCTGGAGATGCATATGGAGCCGCTGAGCTCAGTGACCTACGCATTCTCCACGCTCCAGAGAACTTCTCAGCAGCTCCTGCCCAGGGAGGCACTGCCATATGCAAACTCAGCACATTTCTACTTACCTCGTGGCGAAACACAAAGCCTGAAATGCCAGCCACTAGCTCAGCCAGGAACACCAGAGACAAGAACATGGCATACTGAAAAGGAAGGAGGCAAGAGAAGTCAGGACGTGACAGGCTTCTGTCTCAGCACAGACACTGCTCGGTCATCACATAAAATTTAACTTTCTGCTCTAAATGCTCTTTAAAGATGTTAATAAACCAAAGGTCATTTGGAGGTGATACATAGGTTATTGCCTGAATACATATTTACACAACTCACAAATTATATGTATTGTCTAACTACTGGATTTTCTCACATTTCAGTTCCCACATTTCTTAGCGTTCTCATATAAATTAAAGCACACTCACATGCCAGAGATGGATCCACGTCACTCAGGTTTTGATCTTGCAGTAAGGAACATAAACAGGCCCTTTATGTTTGCATGGCACTCTGACAATGTAAATAGGCTTCTCCAGCTGTTTTGGTTCGTGTTTATCTATCTCACTGCTAGACTGCAATTTGCTGCTTGATTCCTCAAGTTTCTCCAATGAATGAACTGAGCCACTGACTTCACTGGAAATATTCTCACAGTAATACTAGACAGATACTTCAAATATTTTGCTGAGTCAAGGCCCATGTTTGGCTTTAGGAGCAGCATTTTGATCCAGAGCTAAATAAACCTTGAAAACAGCACTTCCAGTGTAGATACTCACAAACTGCTAAAAATACATCTAAGCAGAAATAAAGAAGGCAAAGAAAAAAATGCAAAGTGAGACGGTAAAATTTGAAGTTGGGGCTTAATCTTATGGAGGGAAAATTACTTTTTTTCTCCACGTGCTGAATAACAGTTAAGTAAAAGAGGAAACATTTCAAATTAAGTTCAGACCTAGCAGGACAGTGGAAAGAGGGAAATTTATTTTTAATGGAAGGTTGTTGGGGAAGGAAGGATAACAGTGAAGGGAGAAGTAGAAGAATCATTCTCTACAATTAATGCAGCTGTCAAATCACTGCTTATGTTCTGTTCAAGAGAGAAGGAAAATTTTAAAATATTTCTTACGTGTACAATGGAAATAAAATCATGTGCTTGGAACAGCGCATGCCACTACTATAAGTGGCATACCTTTAAAAAAGTTATGTGTCTTATGGAGCAACTAGCAAAGCCTGAATTCCTAGGATTTAGATCCGACTGGCCATCAGCACATACCTGCTGACTGATTTACAGCTGCTACCTCTTCCCTACTGTGCCATCAATTGAGGAAATTAACTTTCTTTAAGATATGCTTTTTTAAAATCCAGTTCAAACTGGAGAAGAATCGTCCCATCTCCTTAGAAAATAAGGCCCAAAGTATTGTAGCAGGAGATGCATTCTACTGTCAAGCCCTTTTCCACTATCTCAGAGCATCACAAGTGCTATTTCCACCCTTCAAATCATTACACATGTAGGATTTTGCTCCTTAATATTCCTAGAAATGCAGTTTGTCATATAGGTTTGCTTCACCTATAGTTACTTTCCATTTTAAGGTGGGCTGGAAAACTCAGAACAGAGAAACTTATAGGAGGAGAGGTTAAACTGGACCGAGAGACACCTGCTGTACCTCTGCTTAGGGTACCTTGAGTCTATGCTACTTTTGAGATGAGGACAAACATACCATTCAGAGCTTTGTTGTCTGAAGTTGATATGTTTTATTCCAGTGAATGTTAGGAGAAAAAGAAAGGCTGGTGTGCTTTCAGAAAGTATCAACTATTTTTTCCATAGATTTCACATCAGAGTATTAAAAGGACCCCTTTAAAATATACTTCAAATGAATTTCACATTTGTGATGCTTTGGACATTTTTAAGATTGTAAAGATACTTATCTATCTGGCTCACAGAAAAGCAGAACAATTGTAGAATTACTCACAGAGTAGTTCATCAGCAGTATTTCACCCTGCTCCCAACCACACATGGGCCTGTACGCTGTGCAGTAGCAAAATTCATTCATACTCAATCAAAATTCATTCATACTCTTTGGCAAAGATTTTTTCCCCTTCTTTGTCCAAAAGACACATGTGTTGACAACAAAATCTAGCTTCTGTGCCTCAAACCCCACGTTAACATCTGGCAGAGCTTGGCAGGGGATGGGGGGAATCCCAATACATCAGCAAAACCTCTCCCCCTCTTGCTTAAGGCACTTTGGCATGCTTACCAGTTTCAGCATCCATGGGCTGCCACGACAAGTGGCAAAGCAGCCAAAAAGTCCAAAGACAATGATTGTGGTACCCGTCCCGATGAGTACATAGGGGGCATTGGTGGAGTTCTCAGCAATGAGAGAGATGTACGTGCCAAGGGTGAGCTTGCCCCAGACGCCAACTGCGAGAAGGATAACACCTGTGATCTGCAAAGCAAGAGGAGAAAGCTGTCAAGAGCTACCAGGGAAAGCATCCAAATTCTATACGCAGTCATCCTGAAGAGATTCATTGGTGCTGTTGTGCTGGCAGAAGAAAGCCTCAAGACTTTTACTAACTCCAGAGGGATGGACAAAGAAAATTGATTTCCAGCATCTGGAGATGATACATTAAGACTGCTGCTGGAGGACAAACATCTAGGACTAATCACCGCAAAGCTGGCGAGTGCCAAGGGAGTATGCAGTGTACCACCTGTAGAAATAGACTCTCTGCTCCTACAGCGCACTGAGAGAGGTGGCCAACTCCATCACTCTTACCAAAAGCTAACGGTAACTGCCACCATCTCACACCTCCTGGGTTTTGTCACAAAACTTGCCTGAATCACAAAAATCTGCTGCTTGATGTCCCATTCTTCTTAATGCCAAAGTTCCAGGAACATGAGCATCCCTTGCAGTGCATTACTCCGGCAAGGGAGCCTTCCCCAACTCCCCAAGCTATACAACAAGTGAGCCCCCAGCTGCACAGCAGCTTTCCCCCCTGAGACGGGGTGAGAGGACACCAGTGGGCCCTGGGAGAGCACAGCCTCTTGCCTGAGACATGCAAGCAGAGACAACCATGCCACAGGGCAGCCAGGGCACGTGGGCTCCCAGCACCAGCAGGGATGCAGGGGAAGCCCATGATGGGCTGTACATTGACACTGAGCGGTGGCCACGACAGGGAGGATGCCTGCACCGTCTGTGGATCATCACCTGATGCTGATACGTCTGCTCCAAGACTGTACACACGCAACTCATTCCCATGGCACGGCCAAAGGTGGGACATGAAGGGCCAGCCCTAAGAGCCAGCTCTGCAAACCCTTCCTTAATTCCCCCAAAACTTCTTACTAGCTCCTCCAGGCCACAGCCAAGGGGCAGGAACAGAAGAAACGTCCTGACAGTATTCT